GAGAGGGTGCAGTTTGTTGGCCACCAGTGCCTCTGGGCAATGCTTGTTTTCTGGTTTGGTATTTTATTTTGTGGTGAAGACTTCCAGGATTCTGAGCACAGGCTCCTGCCTGCCTTGCCAAGGATGCTCTTATGTACAGCAAACATTATGCTGCTTTGTGTGAAGTCTGCTGGCTTTCACACAGCCTCTTTCTTCCACCCCTGGACAGTTTCTCCTCATGCTGGAAACCTGTGGAGGCTAAACACATTTAACCCTCTTCAGGATGACACAGCTAAACGAATTCTGGCTGTTAAGGTGCTCTTGTGTAGCTGGTTCACTATTTCTACCCTCAATTACAAATTTCCCTTTCTACCCACTTCCACTAAAAGGTGTTAATTGTGTGGTGATACGCAACTTCCCTGCCCCGGAGAGCGGCAGCATCACTTCTGATCCATTTAGGTCTGGCTAAACTAATAGAGAGATCTGTGTCCTGAGCCTGATTCCAACTCCTATATAACAAATTCCTTATTAAATCCACAGAAAAGTCATTTACTAGTGGTTAGACTTTGGGCTGTTCAGGGCAGCAGTCACTTCTGAGAAGTTACGCATGTCTGATGCAAAATTACAAAAATGTGTGTTTACCACAGTGACCAAGGGGGCTGAGAAGCTCAAGTTAATATTTATATTTGGCATTGAACCCTATGCACAAATAATGACTTTGGCTGTGTGCAACGTCCACGTTTATTTTTAAATCCTTTTATACCAATGGTCCAGGTGCAGGGAATTACCCCTGTGATCTTGGCACCCCAGGTTTTGGAGGTCTCACTGTGTTGAAGAAGCTGCTAACAGGGTGTTTATCTTGGGAGTGCATCCCGGAGCATCCCTGGACAGCTGCTCCAGGAGGGTGGGGACTGTCACACTGTGGGTTTGGACTGTCGCCTGTTTTCAGGGCTGAAGCAGAGAAGCGGGAGTGGTTGCAATGCCATTGGGGTGAGGGGGATGCCGAGCTGCAGAGGGGGAATGATGCTCCTTCTGTCTCATCCCAGTATCTCTGTACTGATACAAGGATGTACTGAAGTAATTTGCTCTGGACCTCCCAGCACAGGCTGTGGCTGCCAGGTTGGCCCAAGAGGTTTGTGGCCTGTGCTGTGAACTTGCCTTCCCCACTGCCGTGTCTCTCGTGCCCTGGAAATACCCGCAGCCAGTGTCTTTTTACAAGGTTTTTGTCGTTAAAAATCCATGTGGTGAAGGAAGGGTAGGAAGATGTGGGTTAGCAGGACCCTCTCGCACAGGAGAGTACTCGAACAAGCACACATTTGGCATCAATGAGAAAGTGGCATCTTCTGGAGGCAAGGGTGGGAATTCCTTCCAGTGGATTTAGCAGTTGCTGAGCATCACTGTGAAGTTCAAACCATTTAGCTGGAACGAATTTGTTTCGAAAACTTTTGCCATGTGGGAGCCTAGAAAATTTACTCCTTACAGTTTTGAAATCCAGAATACTGGAGTTAAGGAGAAGTGTTAAATAACTTGCCCAAGGCTGCCTTGTGAAGACATGAGAGCCCAAACTCCATAAAAAAATCCTCAAATGCTCAGAGGGGTGTGCACTACCTGTGCCACCTCAGTGAATTTTGAGGCTGGCAGGATAACTCTTTGTGCTAATACCACGGTGTGAAAGGAATACCCACACCAAGGCACCTGCCCTTTAGTTTGACTGTATTTTCAGCCCTGACTTCTGCCAGTGGTTCGTGTGTTGGTGTCTGGAGAGGTCAACAGGGAATTGCAGGACACAGTATCCCAAAAGCTCTGGCTGGACCAGCCCACCAGTGGCCATGGCACTCCTCCAGAACACTCCATGAAGGAAGAGACCCCAAACTGTGGTCTGAAGGGTGTTTAACAAACTGGGAATGATCACCTCCTCATGGATGTATGGGATGGAATGAAGTCATGCTGTGCTTGGCTTGCCAAGTTTTTAACACGTGACATTGAAAGCATTATTTGTAGAGGAAGGAAGGTTTCCAGGGGAATTGATAACGAAGGATGTAGTAGGTTTTTGGAGAGAAAACAACTTTTGCTGTGAAAACAGCAACCCTGAAACTTTTTTTTGGAGATAAACTGCTTTCTAAAAATGGGCCACAGCTCCCTGCTGTTTCCACAAAAAATTACTGTATGCCTGTGGTGGCTGTCACTGCTTAACACAACATGAAGCTAAGGGAAACACCTGTGGCAGAAAATGGGAGTCAGGCCATGCCTAAGTCTCTCGCAATTCAAAATTTCAGTGCTTTCTGCCTTTCTGTGCTTCTCAGGTTCTCCACTGATCTTGTCCCCGAGAATGGTGCTGTTCTTGTCCCCACACTCTCCATTGCCACGAAGGTCTGGTAGCGATTGCACATCAGGTCTCTGCTTACCAGACCCCACAAGCATTGCTGAGCTCCTGTTCCCACACACATTCCCAAAGCAAACGTTACAGCTATAATCTAAAAGAGCAAAAATGTTTGGAAAACAGCAGATGCAATGGGAAAATGACACTTCCTACATGTGATAATTGTGCAACCTTAACTCTGCCCTTGGAGTATGTCTGCGTCTTGCTGTATTGTTCAGGAACATGTGTGGTGAAGAAAAAAGCCATTGGAAGTTTCTCTGGAAATTAAAGCGGTTGGTGGAGGTGCCAGCAAGGGTTAAAATACCTGGGTGGGGATGGGGGGAGCTAGGCAGGGTAAGTGGATTACACACAGCTCTTAAATACAGGAGGTGACTGCCAGCATGATTTGACTGTTAAAATGGGCATTGGTGGAGGGAAAAACCCTCTGTGGCTTGTGACTCCAGATTGCTAGGGCTGTAATGCACAGGACACGGTTATGTTGCCTCCTGCCATGTAGGTGCCTATCCTGCTTTAAGCCACTTAAAATGGTTTGCTTTTAAGTAATAATTTTATTTTTTTTCCCCTTGTACTCAGCCATAGATTAACTTTGCTCAGGCAGTCTCTGCACTCTCCCTGCAGCCCCACTCACCACTCTCTCAGGTACAGCTCTGTGCAGCCCACGTCCCTCCTGTCGGCCCTGCGCCTTGCCTGGGGATGAAGATCTCCCTGATGGGAGATGTTTGCTTGGCTTAGTCACCACTGAGAAAGTGGGAAAGCACAGTGGAAGAGCACAGCGAAAGAATGCCTGCACTGCAAGATGCGTGGCTGTACCAACTTTTTTACCTTCCCTCATCGCCCCTCGCGCCATCCCTCCTCAGCTGCTCATGGCCCCCATCGCCTGTGGCGGCTGCAGAGGGAACAGCCCCGTGTGAAAGGGGCTCAGCAATGGCAGGGACAGCTCATCCTTGGCGTGTCCCCATCCCAGTCCGCCCTGCCAGCACTTCCACAGGCCCCAGGGGGCCGCGGGGAATCTCAGGGCAGGACTGCTGCTTTCCGAGAATGCCACTTTTTGGGAACGCCACGTTCTGCTACCTCAGGAGTTTTGCAGAACCACAGCTCGTGCTTGCTGGAGCCGATAGATCACTGAGCGATTGATGGGAGCATTTCTGGAAGCAGCGCTACAGCAGCGCTGTCGAAACACCTTGGCCTCTGGGCGGGCCGCTGCCCTGACCCCGAGCCTGAAGCCAACTCACGGAGGTGGCAGCCGAGGCATCCGTGAGGGCACCGGGAGCCCGGCCCCGAGGTCAGGGCACACAGCAGGAGTTGCCTCCAGCTGCCCAGCCCCTCCGGTACTCCCAGCGCAGCCACCGGGCGGGCGGGCCGGCTCTGGCCGCCCTTCCCCTCACGGAGCGGGCCTGCCGTCCCCCGAGCGCCGCCGTCCCGCCCGCGGCAGCCCCGCTCCCCGGGGGACAGGCAAGCGACGAACCCTCCGAGGGGGCAGGGACGGGAAGGGGCCAGCCGCGGGCAGCGCGGAGCCCGCGCCCTCCCGGTGCGGAGGAGACCCGGCGCGGAGGGGCGGCCCGCGGGGGCTCCGTGCGGGCGGGGGTGGGACCCGGCGGGGCGGCGCAGGGGGCGCTCCCGGCTCCCCCCCGCTCCCTCCCCGGCAGGGCCGGCGGCGGGGCCGCCCCCATTGGCCGCGGCGCGGCAGCAGCTCCGCCCGCCGGAGCGGCGCGGCGCGGGGAGGGAGAGAGGGAGGAGGAGGAGGAGGAGGGAGGGCGCCGGGCTGCGCTGCGCTGCTAGTCCGGAGCGGAGCCTGGCAGCGGCAGCAGCGGCGGCGCGGGGTGCGCAGCAGCCGGAGCCTGCTGGACGGAGGCAGCCCCGTCCCCCCGCCCTCCCTCCCCTCGCCTCTTTCTTTGTGCGCAGGGCAGGGGCGGCCCCGATCCATGGTCATGGGCGACAAGAAGAGCCCGACCAGGTGAGCGGGGGCGCGGGGGCGGGCTGGGAGAGGCGGTAAGATGGAGGGAGCGCGGCGCGGCCGCCTCTGCCCCGGCCCCGGCCGAGGGGATGGCGGCGGGTAGGCCCTGGCTGGCAGCCGCCGGCGTGTGCTCGGCCCCGGCGGGGGGAGGCGGCGAGGGGCGCCTAAGATGGAGGGAGCGAACGGGGAGGGGGCGGCGAGCCCGCGCCGCCCCGCCAGGTACGCGGGGGGCCGGGGCGGGGGGGGCCGCGGGCGGGGAGGGAGTGAGGGAGGCTCCTAAGATGGAGGGAGCGTGGAAGGGCAGCAGGAGGAGGAGGAGTGCCGGTGTCTCCCAGCCTGCCGCCGGTGCCAGGGCTGGTGCGGTGCGAGCGCAGCCATGGCGGCTCCGCTCGCTCGCACTCCCCGCTCCGCGCACTCGCCGCTCCCAGACAAAGGGAGGTTTAACAAGGTGGAGGAGGGAACGCGCCTCCCAGCCCGCAAACTCGCCCCCCCACCCTCCCACCCTCCCGCCGCGGGCGGGGGGACGCGGGCGGCCCGGCCCGGCGGGTTCGGCCCGGCGGGGCCGGGGCGGAGCTCGGCGCCCCCCGCACCTCTCCGGGCCCGGCCCCGATCGGGGTTTGTCGGCTGCTCCCGGCCCCGCGGGAGAGCGGCCGTGCGAGCAGGCGCTGGGTTTCGGGGCTCTGTAACATGGTTTCTCATGTGTGTGTTTTCTTTCTCTCCTCCTCCTCCTCCTCTCTCTCTCCTCCTCCCGCCGCCTCTCTCCTCCTCCCCAAACACACACGTACACACACACGCTTTCCCTCTCCCTCCCCCTCCTCAAGGCCGAAAAGGCAAGCCAAACCTGCAGCCGACGAAGGCTTTTGGGATTGTAGCGTGTGCACCTTCAGGAACAGCGCGGAAGCCTTCAAATGCAGCATCTGCGATGTCAGGAAAGGCACCTCCACAAGGTACGTCCGCACCTTTCAACCCGGCTCTTGCTCCGCGCTGGGCTGCGCCGACTTGTTGATTTTTTTTGCTGTTGCCTGGATATCGGCTGGTTGCATCCCTTCTCTCCCCCGATGCCGTCCCTTCTGTCCCCGTTCAAAAGCTTGTGGATTTTAAAAATTCTCTTTCAAGCGTTTAATTGGAGCTGGAAGACATGTTTCGTGGATATGGCAGCAACCCGAATCTTTTTGTTGTTCTGTGCTTTTTTGTGTTGCTGGTGTTCAGAGAACCTTTTGGAGATGCACAGCCAGCCAGAAACGTGCTGACTGTGGTTTGGGGCAGATGGTTTTCTGTGGTTTGGGTGGAGGTTTACCTGTGTTCTCTGCAGGAGTAGAAATGATTTAGGATTAGGGAGCGAGAAAGGAAACGGCTGAAACTAAAGATGCGGTAAGAACAACTCCCTCCCTGAGATGTTGATCTCTCGGTGACTGTTGTCATCAGAAAGGAATCGGCTTTGTGTTCAGTGTGGGAATGGTGCGGGATTTTGAAAGCTTTAGCTGTCAGGTCTCTCTGATTGCCTTGCTCTGAGAAACTGTGGAGGTCTTTGTGAGGTGGTGAGTCTGACATGCAGTAGTTAATTTAATCTCAAAAAAGCCCCCAAAGTTGCTATTTCTCAGTTGGAGGGTTTGGAAAGTTTGTCCTGGAGGTATCAGTTGATGCTAAAGAAGGCATGTGGTGCTCTGCTTTCCCTTTTTTTTGTGATTTGTTCTACCATGTTGATTTCAGATTTTGTTCATACTGTGCCTTCCAAATTTGGGTTCCCATTGCTGTGCTTTGCCAAAGAAATAGTCTGTGAGGTTTCCATTGTGAAAGGCTTCGTTTTCCTTGAGTGCAGCTGTGTATTGAGGTGCTCTCATCAGCAGGCTGTTTGCATGACTTGGCTGTCTTAGCTTGATTGACAAAGGAGGTGAAAGCGTGTTGGATTGTTATTGTTCGCACTGTGCTTTAGACAATGTGAAGTGCCTACATTTTTAATGGGGAGCATGTTTTCGGGCCATTGAAACTCTGAGTTACAGTAACAGAGCACTGAAGTGCTTCACTCTGTGTTTTGTGATGCACGTCAGCTACAAGTATCTGTGTTTTTTACAAAATGTACAGAGGTTGAACTTAAACCAGTTGTAAATAACATGGTTAGAGCATTGAGTAATGTCCAGCTTTGGGACAGCAGTGTTCCGTGTGCACCTGGAGTTGATTCTTGACTCGTTCAGTCTTAGTTGTGCAGCTGAACTTTCCCAGCACGTTTCATTCCTGTGGGTTTCTGCTTCCTTGGCTTCCCTGTTGGCTCAGGTGGAACATGTTGCTCCTCCGGAGCGTGGCCGTGTAATCCCCACACGCTCCCAGTGTCACCAGTGCCTGGGTGTCAGTGGGAGCAGAGCCCCAAGGAAATGCAGGAGCCCAGATGGGATCTGTCCTGTATCAGACACTGTTATTTTCATTGGCCACCATGCTGCTGTTCATTTGGAGAGCAGCAGCCTGCTCTCACATGCCCTTGCGTTTTTATTTTTTTTAAAGATAACTTTCAAACTGTTTGTTGCTGTAGTAGGATGGTTTGTCTTTTAAAGGGCCATTAAGAGTGAAAGCAGTCGATGATTTCAGGTTAAGAGCTGTAGCCTTACTTGCAGATGTGATTCTCGGGTCTAGAGCATTGTAATTCTGTTTAGCTTTTAATGGACCCTTATGAATGGCTTCTAATTTTAATTCATTTAATTCATCAGCTTTCTATTCATTTTTTGCTGCTTTTAAAATTGCTTTTGTTTGTAGAATTTGAAAAAGTATTTAAAATATTCAATGGCCCATCATGTCTGCTTGCATATTTGTATAATTTATGAATAAATATAACAGAAAGCAGGAGTGATTGAGTGTTGTGAGAGAGCATTGTGTGTTGGGAAGTTCTGGGAGGTCAGAGCTATTTGTGGTGTTACTTTGAATTTTATACTATGTGGTGTACGAATCAGTGCTGGGAAATTATTCAGATTTTTTTAAAATAAATGACTGATGTAAAGATACTTAATGAGTTATGATTGATAATTTATTACTTGAAATATAAGGTGTCTGATGAGCTTGACTTTTAAGTTGCAATTTGACAAGTTGATGACACTTTTCTACAGTTAAAACTGCCTTGCTTCCTTGTGACTTACTTCAGTAACACAGAAATTTATCAAACTCACTTTTTAAAAAAACACAACCAAGTAGTGAAAGACATGGTGAGGGAACTGTTTTTCATCAAATTGTTGTATGCAGTCACAGCATGCCCAGGGATTTTTTTAAGATCTGGTATGACCTACTTCCCCCCTCCCTGTACTGTGAAGCCAGTTATTTGTTGTGGAATTTACTTTGGCTGATAAATATTCTCTTATTTAAGAACTGGTGAGGCCCTTAGCTAGTTCTCACCGTGTGTATATTTTTTCAGAGTCAATATAATCTGTTGGTGTGTGGGAGGGGTGGCTGGCAGCAGTTAGAAGTTTTATCTTCTCAGATCCAACTATCCCCTTTCCCTAGGATCTCATAAAAGGAGCTTCAAACAACAGTGAGTTTTAGAGCTGACCTGCCAAGTCAAAATCATTGTAGAGGCTGAACAGTTAAATTGCACTCGACTGCTTTTTCAAGGAGCTGTTTATAAATATTTCAGGTGCACTTTTAAATAAAAATTAGGTCAAATCCATCTCTGAAGAATTGTTGTGCAAAGATTATATTAAACGTGTAGCACTTGTATACTGGATTTGTTACAGTATGTCACTAACTTCCTTTCCTCACCTGGCTTCTTGCTATTTTATGGTTAAACTTTTATTACTTTCTATTTAGGCAAGTATGATGAGGTTTTTTTTTACTGTTTTCCTTCTGTGAGGATGATGGCAAAGACACCATCTCTGTTCAACACAGAGCTCAGCTGGGTGAGATGATGATTTAGCTGGCTGCAGAGTGAGCAGTGGGGAGCTGTTTGCTGGGGTTTATAGAGCCTTATCCCTTTCCTGGAGATTTTTATTGGTGTCACAGCACAGGGAACTGGTGCTGGTCACCACTTAACTTGTGTTCTCTGTCTCTTCTGGTGGTTTGCTCTGGTGTAGCAACACCAGCTCCTGCACTCAGAAGACTGGAATTGAAACTTCTGCCAGGAAGTTTGCTCCACAGACTCATGTTCCATTCCAATATCCATTACTTCTTCAAACACGGAAGGAAAGTTTACTTTGGATTTCCTAAGAATGTGAGGGCAGGATTTGGCCTCATATTTCCTGTGAGTTCCTATTTGGGGGTAGGTGATGGCTCTCTGCTCCTATTTGTTTTTCCTAATGGCATTCTTGCTCCTCTTCTTGCTCCTTTGGTTCTCTGCTCGTTTACATATATTGTGTTCCTGTACACCTCTCATAACTTCCTCTCTCCTCCCAGGCAGGGATGTGAAGTGTTTCTACATGGAATTGTTTTTAGACTTCATTGTGAAGGAGAATATGTGCTCCCTTCCTTATGATTTTAGGGAAACTGTTTTTTAAAACTTTCATTTTGGATGAATAGGCAAGTGGTGTGATGTGATGGAGTTTCTCTGATGTTATTTTTTTCTCTAAATTTGAGATGAATGCTTTTCTTGTCCAAACTCCACATCCTCTTATCATGAATGTGCCTTGAGTACAGAGAAATTCACTTAAAGGTAGTGGAAAATGTGAAAGCAACAAATGGATGTCTGGTGCGCAAATTAACAAAACAATGGGAGCTTTTAGTATGAAACTGAGTTGAAATGTGTGTGTCCTCTGCAAGGTATAAATTGAGCAAGAATTTCTGTTTTATTTGTTGCTAATACCTGTATGCCTGAAGTTGAAGCAGGGTTTGGAGTTTGTACCAAGTGATGTGAATGTACACTTAATTGTGGAGTGCTCAAGGAGTGATGACAGTAGTACTTCACCTTCTTGCCATCTTTATTTTTGAGGGGAGACCGAGCTAAAACTGTTTATATTTTATAAACTGAATTCTCTTCTATGGAACAGATGTCTCAGATACTGGCCTTTGTTTCTCTTCAGTTCTGCAGAAAATTCTCATGTTTGCGGGGTCTGAATTACCACCTTGAAGGATGCAAACTACTGTCCATGTCACCATGGAAAAGTATTCTCTTCTGCATCCAGGCTGGGATGACCAGAATAGGCACCAGATAGTCCTGCTATTCCTGGAATGAGGAATCAGGCTTATGATCCTGACCTTCATACAAATAATATGTGCCCTGCTTATTTGCCATGTGTTTGCAGGACTGTTCTGAAAACTCTTGCAGTGATGTGTGGCTGTGGTGTAGGTTGGAAGCCAAGTGGTTTAATTTTGTTCTCTCAAGTTAGTTAGCTTTCACTTGCATTAAGGTGGGTTTTATTTAGCATCCTAGCTGGCTTTTAAGTGGCTTAATTTCTATAAAAATGGAATATATAACTTGTCTTAAAAGAAAGCTGCTGTGGAAGCAGTGTTGGTGCTTTTATTCTGGAATATTTGTTTTACTATTTGGCTGTTTAAATCTATTGTCAAATCATCCCTGTTTTTCCTGTTGATTGCTGAATTTAAGTGGCTGTTGGATTAGGAGAGGAATGAAGCATGGGGCTGTACCAGGCTGGAGTTGTGGCAGTGTTCCACTGGACCATTCACATCCTGAGGGTGTATCCCCTCAGGGACTGCTGTTCTGGTGCTGGAGGGTGCAGTGTAACCCTGCCTGGGTACTGCTGAGTGCTGCAGTGCACAATCCTATTTGCAAAATGTTTGCCCACGTGCCAGGAGTTCTTGAGATCTCTGTTGTCTCATCCCTTATTTACCAGCACTGCCTAAGAGTAAGTGGCTGTTACTTTGTGGATTTGGGGAGTGCTTCTGCTAGGTCTGGCAAACCCACCAGGGCAGAGGAGCCAAGGGCAGGAGCAAACACCATCTGACAAGCAGACAATGCTGATGGTTCACAGCAAGCCCTGAATTCTGGGGCTGTGGTTTGACAACACACCAAGTTTGA